GAATAAAAGACACGTCAGTCACAACTGCATATGTGTACATATTTCTATATTGTGGTCTATTTACACAAAGTTAGGTTCGTTCATCATTTATGTTGAATAGACACTCCCAAACTTTTACACTGCTGCACTGATGTTAAACCGTGTGCTGCACTGGGTCGGTATGACCAACAGGTCAAAACAAGCTCAAAACAAAGTGCGCGCTGTGCCCTGATTGGTGTTCTTGCTTCACATTTCTTTCATTTTGACATGTTACATTTTTATACACACATAAGACAAAAGGAACGACAGATTTTGTATAATGTAGTGGAGTAAAAAGTAAGATATTTGACTTTGAAATGTGGTGGAGTGAAAGGAAAAAGTCACCGAAAATGGAGATACTTCAGTAAAGTACAGATACACAAAAAAAACTACTTACATACAGTAACGAATTACATTTACTTAGTTACTGTCCACCACTGCGTTTCAGGAGATATTTCTGAGAAGATTAGATATAAGATCATCCACTTGCATAAATTAATTAATTAAGAATCTCTCTCTCTCTCTCTCTCTCTCTCTCTCTCTCTCTCTCTCTCTCTATATATATATATATATATATATATATATATATATGAGAAAGTTGGACAATCATCTCTGAGAGAGAGGAGAAAATCAAGCTGCTTCAGATCTGAAAACATCCACAGGTGTTTGTTTCTGTCCATCCTTCCACTGTGAGAAGACGACTCAGCGCTATGAGTCTGAAAGGAAGTGTAGCAGACAAGAAGCCATTAATGAGGAAAGGAGACAGACAAACAAGAAGAACATTTGTGAAACAAAGAAGCTGCTGGTGTTCTCAGAAAAATGGACTGACCACCCAGATCTCAACGGTGTGGAAAAAAAATCCCTGCAGATTTCTTTGACAAAACGAATCTCCCAAAAAGAATGGAAGATGTAATAAGGGTAAAAGGTAAATGCTGAACATATTAAATGTTGGAAGAGTGGTCTTTGTCTTTGGCACAGTGCTATACTCATACAGGAAATATTATTAGGCCTACGTATCTTTAGTCACGAACACTGCTCAACTCACTACTGTTTCAACAGGAACAACGTGAGACCTGTATTTCGAGCTATAGGAAATACATCAGCACGTGACGTTGGAAGCTGTGGTCAAATGTGTGTATTCAGTGACTGTGGTGTACTGCATTAGTGCAGTATGTTAGAAAAAACAGAAGAGCAACTGTTGCTCAGGTGACTGAGAATGTCAGGGCAAGATGTGACCAACCCGTCAGCAAAAACAGTCCATCCACAACAAGAGGGATATTATACAGGGGCTGTAGTGCATAAAACCCTTATTGCAAAGATGAATGTGCATTGGAGAGTTCAGCTAAGCAGCTGCAGACAAGCCTAAGATCACTATGTGCAATGCCAAGTGTCAGCTAGTGTGGTGTACAGGGCACCACTACTGGACTGTGGCGCAGTGGAAACGTATTTTTTGGAGCGACAAATCATGCTTTACTGTGTGAGGGGTGAGTCTGGGTTTGGCGAATGCCAGGTGAATGCATAGTGCCAACAGCAAAGTTTGGTGGAGGAGGGATAATGGGCTGGGGCTGTTTATCAGGGTTTGGGCTTCGGCCCTTTAGTTTTAGTGAAGGGTAATGTTAATGCTACAGCATGCAAAATGCACAAAATGGGCTCCATAAAGACACAGTTTGCCGAATTGGTAGAAGGAACTCCAGTGACCAGCATACAGCCCTGACCTCAACCCCACTGAACACTGTTTGGCTGAACTGGAATGTCAATTGTGAGCCAGGCCTTCTTGTCCGTCATCAGTGGGCAACTCTGAAGGCCACACTACAAAGAATGCTGTTTTATATATATAGTTTATATTTATATTTTTTATATATATATATATATATATATATATATATATGGGGACAATTTATTTCAGTGTGCGGTGTTTGACAAGCAGCAGCCGAGCAGCCTCAAACAAAAACAATAAAGAATAAGTAATCAAATAATGCGCATGGAAGACAAATGGCTGAAAAAAGCATCGCACCATTTCTTCTAATTGGACTACGCTGTTGATTTATGGTTGATTTATAGTTTTGTGTTTCTTTCCTTAAGTATGAAGCTTCAGAGAGCTGTTGGCTCTGTTGTACAAAAGAGGGAGTTTTAACGATAAGAGGGGGAAATTAGAGCTCCAAACAAGTGTGGAAACCAAAGAATAGAGCTAATTCAATTTGAATTCAAATCTACACGAACATATTAGCCAATTTGTGCAGTAACTCAGGCTTCGGGAGACACTGGACTCGCAGGCGGCGGGCTGTGCTGATAAATATTTCTAAATTGGTTCGGCTTATTATTTGACCTAGAGCAGCCCAGCTCCCCAAATTGGCGGCGCGGGGGGATTTTATTTGGGGTGCTGAGGTTATTGGTGGTGGAAAATTTGCTGCTGCACTCCAGTCTGGAATTGTATTTACTCTGAAGCAGGCCCTGCGTCGCCTGATTAGTGCGTTAAATGAGGGAATCTCGCTCTTCATGATGACCCGAAGAGAGCGTGGAAATTCTGAATTAGAGTGCCAGTAAGCTCTCTCTCTCTCTCTCCCTCTCTCCCTCTCTCTCCCTCTCTCTCCCTCTCTCCCTCTCTCTCCCTCTCTTCTCTCTCTCTCTCCCTCTCTCTTGCTCTGCTTTCCTTATTTTCATTTTACTTTCTTGTTTTACTCACATTCTCTCCTGCTGTATCTCTGTTTTCTCTACTTTCTTCTAGCACTCTTTTCTTTTTCTTTCTTTCCTTCTATCTCATTTTCCCACTCTGTCTTTTTCACCCCCTCTCACTCTCTACTTCTCCTATCACTTTGACACTCGCTCTCTGTTTCTCTCTTTCTTATTTTCTAATCACTCTCTTATCACCCTTGCTCTTCTTTTCTGCTCCCTTTTCTTCCTATCACTCCCTCTTTTTACATTTTTTTCTTCTTTCTCTCTATCTCTTCCTTATTTTCCTGTCACTCTCTCCTTTTTCTATCTGCTTCTCTCTTTTTTTTCCTCTCTCTCTTCCTTTCTCTCTTTTTTCCTATCATTTTCTCTCTCTCTCTCTGTCTCTCTCTTTCTCTCTGTCTCTCTCTTTCTCCCCTCTCTCTCTTTCTCTCTCTCTCCATCTCTCCACCCTCTTTCTCCCTCTCTCTATTTCTCTCTCTCTCTCTCCATCTCTCTTCCCCCTCCCTCTCTATTTCTCTCTCTCTCTCCATCTCTCTTCCCCCTCCCTCTCTATTTCTCTCTCTCTCTCCATCTCTCTACCCCCTCCCTCTCTATTTCTCTCTCTCTCTCTCTCTCTTTCTCTCTCTCTCTCTCTCTCCGTCTCTCTCTCTCTCTCTCTCTCTCTCTCTCTCTCTCTCTCTCTCTCCCCGTCTCCCCCCCTCTCTTATCTCTATGGATCTAGTCAGTATGATGAAATGACAGATTGACTAAGACGTATGACTAAAACGCCAGATTAGACCAGAACTGACTACTTTAATAGAGTTCCTTCCATGATTTAATGTACATCACTTTTGCTGCGCACATCCATGTATCACCATTTTGTTGTTTTTTTACTTTATAACATAACTTTAAAACACTAGTTACTCTCTGCATTGTGTTAAGATATCACTAGTATTACCTTTAAATGCTTACTATGACTACATATCGATATAATGAACAGACCAATAGAAATGATTCAAAGTGAAAAATATTTGGTTACATTAACTTCTATTACAAGTCCAGAATGATTTTACCTCTCCTGTAAAGTTACCATTATGGAGATTTGAGGTTTGTTTGGACAGCGATGATATGCAGAATTGTTAACGATGTAAAAGTCTCATCATATCGCAAAGCTTCTTTTTCCGTAAAAATGGCTTGTTGAATCTGACTTGTATTCTTTGAAATGACCTAATTTTCAGCTTAAATAGCTCCTAAAATCTCATATAATCTTCATCTAAGTTCTCATAATCAATTAAGACAAATAGCACATGTGGCAGTTTGAATAATTATAATTTTAATTGAATAAAATGTTCTCTGAGAAATCAAGGTGTAGTTTGTACAGTAAAATGTATGGATTAAAATATGGATGCTTTTAATTCACGATACATTTGTCTTTGTACGAAGAAGAGCAGAGATTTGATGATTTGAGTCTGATGAAAAGTTATTGTTGAGTATACAGACGATTCTTCTGTTTTGCAGAAGAAAAAACTGTCCAACTTTGAAACAAATGTCAGAAGTTAAGATTCGAATCAGTGCAGGATGTAAATTGTACAGAAATATGCATGATGATTTATAGTATAAAAACATGTAATTCTGTTTTAATAGTATAGCAAAACAACAGTAAGAAAGGCTAAGCCATCAAGGTGTTTGATGAAAAATCATTAAATAAATAGGCCAAAACCTTTGCTTGAACTCTTTGCTTGATCTTTTAGATCATGCACCAGCATTTCAAGTGTACTGCGGTCAGGACTTGGCCATATCCTTATACAGGTTAGAATTGATTGGTTAATTGGTCAATGACTGAAGGCATTCCAAGCCCTGAGGCAGAGAAGCAGGCCCACATCATTACACCCCCACCGCCATGCTTCATAGCTGGGATGAGTTTTCATATTGGTATGCTTTGTTTTCTCCAAACATAATGCTGCGCATCAGAAAGTTCAAGTTTCGTATCAGATGTCCACATTTGTTTCAGAAAGCTTTGTGTCATCTTGGATAGCTTTAGCAAACTTGAGATGGATGGTATGTTCTTTTTGGACACCGTTGCTACCATTGTGCTAAGCTCCCATGAACACCACTCTTGTTATCTTGTATTTTTGATAGACTTGTGAACACAATTGCAGGAGATGTCAGTAGATCCTTTTCCTTGACCTTAGGGTTGTTTATCACTTTGTATAGAATGCATATCACAGCCTTGCACTGAATTTTGTTTGACTCACTCCTAGGCAGTGAAACAATTGTCGTGAAAAACAATGGCAGTCTAACTTCACCTTGTTATGTCTTTTACATTGCAGGCCTAAGAAACCTTCTGGACCACACAGACAACCAGGGGACCAGGTAAACAATCCAATTTTATTATTTGTTCATAAAATAATTAGGCTGGAATCAGTTAGCATGATGGCTGGAAAGCAAGGGCCATGTTTTAGTTATCTATGGCTCTGGCTGACAAGGCCTACATACAGTGCTAGAATGGGCATATAAAAAAATTACCAGCATACAGTGAGTTGCAGTTGAAAAAAAAAAAAGGTTTTCCAATTTTCTGTTCACTTCAATCTACACTACAGTACAATTTGCATTTTACTCAAGGGAATGCAGGTGACAGACACTCATCTGTTATTTTTCTCTTCCCATAATTTCCTTTATCAGTCAGTTTATAACCTTGGTTGCTCGGTATAAGGCCCAACGACACCCCTCCCAACTAGCCAACAAATACACCCCTTGTATAGAGAAAGGAATAATCTGTACTGGTTGGCCTTCCATCTAGTAAAAAAATAGATAAATAAGAAATGGCAACTGAGGCAAAAGCACAATTTGGATTGGCGGGGGGGGGGTGTTTTTTTGTTATATTAGCAGTTTCTGGGAAGTCCTTATTCCTGCAGGAGCTGTAGATGCTCTGTCCTTGTCCCAGCTCTGTCCTTGTCCCAGTGTTTGCTCCTGCTGGCTTCCTGCACTGCTGCTCGTAAGTCAGATCAGACAACACTAAGCAACCAATTGCCTTGATCAGGGAAAACACCCCAAGTTCTACCAGAGAGGAATAACAGCATCTCTTCAAAATATACTTGCAAGCATTGAGTAAGTCATTGGCCAAGATTCCACTGGCCAGTCCTAGAGGGGCACCTCCTTAATGCTTAGAAACTGTGGACTCAGTCCTGACTGTCCTAGGCCCATTGCAGTCACTCTGCTTCAGCTGGCAGCACTGACCTTAAAAATAGAGTCAGCGATTCTGGAGAAAGATTGTTGATATTTGAGCTCAACTGAAAAACAAAAACACCCCTCCCTTCAGCGCTCCTTCAGAAGCTTTGTCCCCCAAATTCATGGACAAACAACACTGGGCTAGCAAAGCTCTATTTTTTTAGATCTTCGTGGCCATAAAACTCTTTGCAAACGTCGTACAGACAAATGATATAATGTTAGGCCAAACAACAACACAGCAACTAATACAACTCATGCTAGCTAAGTTGTGGGTTAGCAATCTGTCACTAGGAAGCCTTGTCAACTCTCCACCATTGAAACACCTCACCAATGTTAACACGGCTCTTTGCCCTTGCCTGATCTCAGAACTTCCGTTTCAATCTTGGTTCTTCAGATCTTCTCCTCTTTGGCTGTTTCTCGGCCATCTCTCCATCTTGACAATGCGTAAGGTTCGACATGTAGCATGTCAAATATAAAGTCTTCCCTCCATCTCCCCTTCCCTCTGGCCTGTGCATGAGCATGAACGTCCCCCTGTTGCTGATCAGCTGGAACAGTGTTGTGTCATTTGGTCTAAATCACTTTGTTTGTGTCCCATTTATAGAGCCAGGACTGTACACAAACACTGGATTTATTTCCAGCAAACTGACAGCTAGTGGACTGTGAGCAGATATTTGCTGAATTTGACAAAAAGCATGGATTAACATTGTGTACTGCACCTTTAAATTAATGTCCCTGAACAGCGGAAACAGCACAAACTCAGAGAAGGCCAATAACATGCCTTCAGTTAATACTTGCGAGCATTTTCATTCGCCAAAAATCCAGTCCAGCTTCCCCTCTACGCTGCTGCTCATGTAGCTGGACATCCTCCACTTCCTGGTTGTGCATCAAAGAACTCCTATCCCCGGCCCTCTCTGCAGGTTTTCTGATTCCAGTTCCGTTTTTATCTTGTGGAACAGCTTATCACAGCCCTGGACTGCTAATTAAGCTCTACTGGTCCCAGGTGGGAATCCTCCCCCACAATGTTGAATTCCTTCCATTTGTTATTTGCTCAGGTCCTCTGCCCCATGGTCTGCTGGACCATGTCCTCAGAATTCTTTTTGTGAACTGTTCCAGTCTTATTACCTTCAATAGCCTTACTTCTATGGTCCACATCAGGGCATGCTGTATTTAAGGTCGCTTGGGCTACAATGCGTAATAATGGTGTTATGAATAGGTAACGAAAAGTATGTTACATTCATTTAATCACTTTAGGAGAAAAAGAACTTTAGCCGATATCAACGTATCATGTAATAGACCCCCTAGGAATTTGCAGTTTTGCAATTGCAACAGTTCATCCAAATTCAAGTAATCCTCACAGCATTTGCAAGAGCTTGCAACTGCTTTCAGAACGAAGCGAACAGCTTCTGTGCTATGTGCTGGGTAGCCGCAGCCTCAGACCACCCACATGTACACTGATCTGATATCTAAGCTAAGCTTTTTTACAACGATCATCATTTTGTCAGTTCCTGTGTGATTGCTTTTCTGCACATCCATATGAATACTCTTCTGTGAGCCTTCCATAGCAGTGTGGATGATGGACGTGTTTGCACTCTGTATATTGATGTGAAGCATATGAGCTGCTGGGTTATGTCAGTTCAGAGTCACTCAAATACTTTATTTTAATACATATAATACACAGATTTCCTGAATATTGCTAACTGTATATAGAGAACATGTTCAGTTGGCAGAGTGTATAAGTGGATGATCTATCTGTACAGTGTAGAATCTGAACTTGCTTGGTGCTGGCAGGTTTCATATCACTGTATAAAAGATGCATATGAATTATTTTATTGTTGGATGCACTGTGATAGTCACTGAGCAAAAGCCTGAGCTCAATCAAAGTGCATCCCAGTTCAGTAAGCCCTAAGAACATGAACTATACATAAAAATTTTGTGGATTTTTGGGTTTGTTAGATCAGTTCTTTACATATCAAGTAAACATTGAGAAATCCCCCAAAAAATGATGGTATGAATACCCAAATAGTGATTTCAGGGTTCATATACAGGCATCTGGAATAGTTAACTGACTATTTGATTACCTGTCAACACCCCTAATTCTCACAGCTGTACCCTAGTCTTGACTGTAGGTCCACATTCTTGTACAAACACAGAGATGCACATGCACGAGCATGCCTGCACACACACATGCATCAATTCCCATAAGCTCAGGGTTCACTCCAGTTCTCCAGTATGGGAAAACTGCCATCAGCGAACGTCCGGCTAAAGTACTACATATGCCAGTAACAGTGGGCATAGTGCAGGTGCAATACAGCTCTAGCACAATTTCCTTACGAAGTGTCAAGTTGCTAAACAAAGCAGGTCACTTGACGTGGAGGCCCAGCAGCATAATTCAGCATCAGGAAGCGCAGCTTGACACAATAGGCATCTGTAACAATAGCATGTATGAAGGAGATGGCTAAATTGGGGAAGCTGGTTGAGCTCCTCTTGAGGAAGAAGGAAAGGAAATTCTGAAAAAAAAATAACAAACTGATACTGTTGTGTGGCTATTTTTGAACATTTCCAGGGTAAAATTTAGGAAGACGTATTTCCCAGCCATCCGAGAACAGGGAGAGAGAGAGAGAGAGAGAGAGAGAGAGAGAGAGAGTGAGAGAAATAAACAGGGCCGATTGTAATAAGGAAGAGGCAACGGAAACTCGGCTTGGCCAGCTGTGGGTTGTACACATCTGCGTAGGCTATTAAGTATAAGAGGTGGCATGAGAGAGAGTTGGAACATTCTGTGGGAAAAAAAAAATAAAAGTAGCTGAACTCATCTTGTAGTCAGAGATAGAAAGAAATCAGTGGGCAGCCACAGTTCATTATCGCTGCGCTCATCTCCTGTACATGTGTTTATGTGCACACAGTGAAACATGCACATGGGTGTTGGAAAACAAGTGTGGTTTAGGCCATAAGAACATGATTATATAAGACCTCACACGCCTTGCCTGACACGCAGAGGCAAGAAAGGAAAACACCTATATGATGACGCTAATTTCTGCTAGTGCTTCTATAAGATTTTTAACAGTACGTTAGTGCTAAGCTAATGCTGCTGCTGGATGTTCGAGATTAAACATGGAAGTTTGTGACTTCTACAATGACTCCTTCAGTAAAGAGCCCTGGCATAGAGCTGCTGCTGTTTTCTAACAAATACCTGAAAGCTAGTTCGGCTACCAATTGTTTTCACAGACAGAACTTAGAACTTCCAGAATAAGGCCTAAAGTGCTGTTTTTGGCATGAACTTAGTCCCACCCATTAGAAATCAAGACATGATTGGTTGATTTCAATGTCACTTTCAAAATATGGTAGCGATTAATCTAATTTCTAAGGGGGTTTCACATCTGAAAGTCCAGACCAAGATCTGAACCAAGGTTCATGTTGTTGTTACATTGTATACATTTGATCTGGATAGTTTTGGCTTCACATTACAATGTAGAAAGAACACTAAAGAACTTTACATTGCATTACATATATATGTCCTGTCGTCATCACCTACGTGGGCTGTGTCTCCTTTTTACTTGACATTGAATGCGTTAACATGCTCTGAATAATCCGATAACTGCAGAAAATCAGATTTTGTCAGTAATCCGATCAACGCATTTACACGCAGCTGAGTAATCAGATAAATGGGAAACTCTGGGTCCACATGAGTCAGGCAGTAATCGGATTTCAGCTTTGCAACCAGCCAATAAACTCACAGAAGACATGATGTAAACGTAACGTAAAACTCAAACTTCATGCCAGGACTTTTTTTTTTTAAACATTGTGCTACTTTACCTGAAAATATGAAAATACATCATCTAGAAAATGAAAAATACTTAAATCCTTCATTTCGTCAAGCATGTAGCTGTTTTCAGCATAGCTCCAAAAGCGTTTTGCTGCCATCTCATGGCAAAGGCTGTTTTCACACATGCGCAGACTGAGAAATCCGAAAAAAATCAGAGTAAGAGTTCACATACACTGAGAAATCTGATTACTGACCTAAATTCCAGCTCTCTTTACTGGAGTTCTTAATCGGATTTCTAGACCTTACTCCAATCTAAGAAATCGGAGTATGCTGTTTACACGACCATTTGAATAATCAGATGCAGAATTGCAGAAATGCAACTGCAGAAATCCGATTATTATCAGATTATTGAGTGCATGTGAATGCACGCATTTCTTGGTTTGTAGAGGAGCGTGATGTTAGCATGATATCAATTCGGTGGGCAGCCTTTTCCGTTTGAATGAGCAAAATGAACGTCGTCTTTCTCATCCTTTCAGAAAATAAGACCACTTCTTTTGATCTGAAAAAATTTTCATCTTGCGGTCCAGACTGTGGTCCGAGGCACCTTTTACACATATTATTTTGGTGCGGACTAAACTAAAATGTCTGAAGGCCTTACCAATGAGAGAGGTCGTATATACCTGGATACCAGGATAAAAAATCCTAACTGGATAACTTTCTCCTTCAAGATTTTAAAACTTTTGTTTCCACCAAGCATTGCTTCTTATTAATTGAGTATACTAATTTAGACACATCATAATACTTAATTAGTCCTACTGCAATAGTTGCAGAGTTTAAATACAAAAGGCCTGGTGATTCTGTTGAAAATTACAGACATGCATATCATTTCATTTTCTCTGGAGGCCTAAAAGACCAGGTACCTAAAATACAGGGAAACCATTGAAATTATGGCATCAAATCAAAATTAGGTAGAAAAAACACTGGAAAAACACTGAAGTATTCCATTATTTCTCCAGCAGAACAGTCAGCAGGGACATTGGTTACGTTCCCGCTAGTGCTCTTTTGCTCAATCATGCTGGTATTTGGCCAACTAAGCCTCGAGATATGGGTTGGATCACCTCCACCTCCACCTACACGTCTGACTGGCCAAAAACACACCGCACACACTCATGATTCCTGCTGAGTACTGTGGGAAATGCAGTCAGCATGTCAAGTCACGATACAGTGACATTTCAACAAAGTTTCCCACTGAGTCTGCTTTCTGGATACTTTGGTAAACAGAAATAGAGGTGACCTCATCCTTAAAGTACAAACTCAACCGCACTTGCAAATCATCAGCCCAGCTTGCCCTTCAGCCAAACAGCACCAAACCTACTGAAAAAGTTGATAATCATCAGTCGTGACTTATCACAAATGTGGTGAGACCAAAGAAAGTTCACTTTCAGACCAAACTTATGATGTTTTCAGTATAATGTTTCAGATGGAACAGATTGTGCAATCTGTAATGTGAACTTTTATCTGTATCTTGAATAGTCACGACTTGTAAAACTGTTTGTTTGCTTTGCAGACTTGGAAAATGTTGCGGTTATTCTTGCTGGGTTTGATCCTCACGGCCTCAGGTAAGTTCCCTATGTCTAAGCTATAGCAGTCTACAGTATTACTGTCTTGAAGGATTTAACGATTTTGGACCCTCATGATCACAACAGACTCTTTCTCACTTGCAGTCTGTGAAGAGCACAGCTGTATAGGCCAACAAACACCTGATTCAATAAGCTTTCAGTTACACTTGCATCATTTGCGGAAGTTTCATTGCGACATCAATAACCTGCATTACGGTATAAGTGTTCTGCTACAGCATATTCAGTAGGAAAAGCAATCAAATAATATAATGCCTAGTTGTAAAAGGTAAGAAGTTCCTCAGTTTAGAAGCGTAGTAATGGAAAGAGGCCTCTCCACTTTTTTTTTTCTGTCATTTACACAGGATATTTGCAGGGTATCTTAGTTTCAGATCTAAGATCATGTGCTGGAACATGACAGAAATTCTGGTTCTAGCCTGTCGACAAAGTCATGATTTCCAGAGGGAATGAAAAGATATAGTTTGTCAATGTAGCAATTAAATATCTCATGTTTCGTGATCACATTTCATACAGGCAGCCTGTAGAGTGAAAAAAAGAACGATCCTAAAATGGAACCTTGTGGAACTCCAAATGAAGCGCTACATTTTTTTTAGATGAACGGATTCAAAGTACAACAAGAAACTGCCTGTTTGTCAAACCATTTGTTACACCATTCAAAGTCAGACAGGCCTGCCTAATTTTAAATTAATAGATCAGGATCTTGTGATCAACTGTATCGAATGCTGCACCAAGATTCCAGTAGGACCTTCATATTAAATTTAATCTGGAATTCTATTGGACTGAGATGAAGTGACTTGAGATTAAATTAATAAATTTGTTAAAATTAATTAATTTGTAATGAAATCTGTGCTCCTAAGTCTTTAGTAAGCCTTTAAAAAGTCATTAGTTAACACTACTTATTTCCAAACCATTATTCCACCAAATTCAGTTGCACCACCAATCTGTAAGTAATCTCCTAGCTAATTAATGTGTGCACAGCAACAAAGCTAATCGCTGTAATTTAAGCATATTGATGACAAATGATGACAAAGTCAGAACCAGTCAACAAACATGTTGTCATGGAAACATGGACAACAATTTGAGCTGACGCATTTTCAACTGAATTAAATAGAATTGAATATCTATTTCCTTTGTTTACTTGTTTATTTTTCCACACGTCTTTGCAACGACTGAACATGCAACTTTTTAAACAATGTTTTCTGGCCAACCAACATCACCGCACCATCAGCATAGAAATTTGACCATTTGCAGAGTCTCACTGAACTGGAGTTATGGGTGTTAGCTTTGTGTTTGGAACTGAAAGTTAAACTCACATGTTTTGGGGCAATTTCCCAGACAGGGAGTAAACCTAGTCCTGGAATTAAGACTAGGCCTGTTCAGGAAAACAACCCTTTGTGTTTATTAGCTTGTTATCTTAGTGACAAAACTAATTCTACCAATTAACCTTTTCTACTAGGGTCGTATTTTTTATTATGTAGTTCCCATTGGTTTCGCCAACACTTACACCTGCTTGTGGGTAGGTGTAAATATTTAGTAGCTCAATGTAAACAAAAAAACAGCGTGTGTAGTGTAGCTTGTTTTAATTTAGTGTATTAACATGAACTAAGTCAATGCTTAGGTCATCACTAGCCTATGTTTGAACTTGCTTATAGCTGGTGCAATCGTCCAGTTCATAACTTGGTTCTGTATGTTTTGTTTTTCCTCTTGCTTTATCTGTTTAGTCAGCCAGAATTCAGAAGACTATGAAGGTTCAGGAAATGGAGGTAGGATGATCCTCACATCATTCTTTTCTGTTTTTTAGCTAGCAAACTTTTAATAAATAGCACTTTTTTCTCACATACCTGAAAGTTTTTATCTCTAGATAAAATGCAGGTTAATATTTGTCAGAAAGTTAATCATTTAAAATGTAGACCACTTTATTCCACCTTTCCCAATAGAACTGAAAAAGGTGCTTTGATATGAATGCATACACTTACAACAAGCTTTTATTAATGACACCCTGTATCTCTCTCTCTTTCTCTCTCTCTCTCCTGTCCTACTCATCCGTCCACAGATGATGAACCAGACGAGGATTCAGACGGTAAGCCTTCTTTAGCAGCGGCAGCAGATGCAGCATGAAGACAGGTTGTTACTGTAAGGCCAAACCAATGCACCCGTCACATTAATTCCTGAAAGCAATCAATTAGCCTCTCCCCGCGGAGCCCGGCTGATGGGCCTGGCGCTGTCGTCTCTCTGCTTAATGCACACTCCACCATTCAGGCCTCCGCCGCCTACTGCTGTCACTCTTCATCTGCAGGATGATTGCCTTCTGATAGAATTACTGAGCTGTTAAGAGAGGCACTGCTCACCCTCCAGTTCAGCCGAGACAGGCCGGGTTCAGGCTGGAGGACTGTGGAGGAAAGTGAAATTACCTTCAAAATGAACGAGGGGCTCGGATTTTTAGACTTAAGAAGAACATTCCCACGAAACCTAAACTGAACCGAAGAAGTTGATAATTACTTTAAGGGGCTTTGAACTGAATGTGTATGGATGGGAGCATTCACTTGAGAGTGTGTGTACGTTCTATGTTCCTGTGTGAGCAATTAAGTGTTATTTTTTTTTTAGTTATTTGTTTGTATGTTTCAGACATAACAAGTTCTGGAACGATGGAACTCAAGAATGAAGTGCAGTCCTCACCAGATAAGGACGCAGGAGATGATGGTAAAAATAAATAAATAAATAAATAAATAAAAAAAATCAAGGCAACAATTAAAATCAGATATGCATGTAAATTATTTGTGAAAAACAGCATATGAAGCCAAACATTAGGCCGTGTGTTCTTGGCTTTTTTTGGAAAAATAGACCTCTGAAGTCATTTTGTTGTTGGCACCATGCCCATATTAGGAGCTCTGGGTCTAAGCAATTTTTCTTTATGAGAAAAAACAAACTGTTTTTTCAAAAAGCCATTGCTCTCAGACCATGTAGTAAACAAAAAATGTTCCAAACCTGAAGTTTTGTGCTGTGCACATTTTTTTCCTAAAATATCATTGAAGTCTCTGAATTACAAGGTCATTAACAAGTCCAATTACAAATATAGCTGCATGTTTGCTAACATGGAACTGACATCACAAGACTGGCAACCTCACCACCAAAATACCCAACGCAAACCAACAAGTTTCATCAATTATGGTACTTATGCTTCTTTGGCAGCCTACAGTCTGAGTAGTATGGAAGTTTATATTCTGGCTTTGCAGCCATTGAAAACACCTGGGCAATAAGAAAACTGGAAAACATAAAAAAAAAAAAGGTCCTGGAAAAGTGTAAATTTTGACATTAAACCAAAGAAATTTTTGGCCTATTGATAACAAATAATGTCCAGTTTCAGTGGCCATTCAAACATATTGTAGTTTGTAATGCTACACTGTTGCATGTGGAGAGATGGACGGTGTGTTGGAACACCTGGTAGAGCGAGGCTACACTGACACATTTCGTCTTGCAGCATCTAACATTCACTAACATTTCACCAGAGCTTATGCTCAGATGATGATTGGGAGTTTCAGTGTGTCACTCAGTCAGTAAAAGTCTGCTATTGGTTGAATTGTTCACTTTCATGTTAAGGATGTTGTACATTACTTTAAGATGACCTTTCTTGAGCAACAGCTGATGAGTATATAAATTATTGAAATTATCCTGGAAAATAACTTTCTAAAAAGAGAGGAAAAGAACTTTTTCTCATAAGATTTGTAGCTCCTTATTTGGGCATGATGTTGACTACAAAATGATGCCCAGCTAGATTAATCTATCCATGCTCCGCCCACAGTTGCATTTACATGTTGAAAAAAAATCTCATTCATTATAATGAGAAATTGCTCACAACCTAGTTTAACTACTTAAATTTACAGTGTTGTTCATTTCAAATGATATTTTTCCTGCATGTGAAAGATCCCACTGTTATACTAGACTGGGTGGAGTGTTTTTGTCATGTACTCGAGTTAACATGTCTGTGTCTGATTGTTGTAGATGGATCCACCATGATAATCATCATTGCAGCAGTGAGTGTTGTTGCCGTGGCTGTCCTGGCTATCGTAGGTAAGGGACGCACATAAACTATCACACTTTTAGCAGTGAGATGCAGCTCAGCTCTCTCGCACTGGACTGGACTGGCTCATGGATTGAAGTCTTTAAAAGACTGAGAATGTGTCTGCAGTGCTAAATCTTAAAAAATCGCAAACATTAATAAGAAAAAAAAAATGGACAGCACTAGAATCATTTTCTTTACATAGCACAGACATGTGCCTGTGAGGTCGTGAAACCAATAGGTGAAAATTGAACAAAACTAATGTTAGTGCTGTGCTATTTTTTCTATATTAATGTATATTGGTTTGTTTGGATTCCGAACTTTATGAGTTCTTTTTACAAAGTAATTCATTATTTCCAGTCATTCTTCGATTAGGTTAATATGCCTATTCAGAATGCTAACATAGCATTTAACGTGGTTGATAAACAGTGTTTGTAATACAGTAATGTGATAAACAATGTTGTAATACAGTACAAATAAACATATTACAGTAAAGTGATATTTTCTCCAGTAACAATGTAGTTTAACACTTTACAGATTCAGATTTTTAGTCCATTACACACCAAATATAAATGGAAAAAAAAACAAAAACGTGAAAATATGAAATATTTGAATGCAAAACTGTACACACTGGATCTGACACTGCGCTGCAAAACCAAGTCCTCATTACGAAATGGGCAAACTGCGATGTCACATAACATCTGTTCCACTTTGAAACAGTGAAAGGAGAACAGAGAGTTTCTTTACCCCATGTGCATCTGGGATCTCTGTAACTCAGTTTGAGCTGATTTTGAAGATGTAGCTCCACATGAGATGAAGCACAAAACAAACAGGCTGAATGTCTTTAAATACATATAAGATCTGATTCTTTGCTTCACACAGAAACAATGACACAGGGCTGCTGTTCTTTGGTTCTTCATAAACCAAAATTTAAGGTCTTCCACATTTAACTCAGATCTTTGCAGCTCAGTTTGAGCTGTTTTTAGAGATTTTGACTCTTTTGACATCTGTAAAAAAAAAGTTCTGTTGCTGGAACACAGCTGCTCCGTCCATCTTGGTTGTTGTCATGTCAACAGCAGAGGCGACCTTCATTAGTCAATGAGTTTTTGTTGCTAGCCAAAGTTTGCAAAACCCATCAGAGTGTGAGTAAAATAATGTTGCATTCTTTTTGTCCAAAAAAATAATGTGTGGTCAGTGTCGGTTATACACGTCCTCGATTTCATTTACTGTCGTCCGAATAAACGGCCTTTATATTACATTATGCTTTCTGACTTTCATTCATAAAGATTTTAATCTGAGTCTGCTGTTTTTGAACTATTTCTACTGGCTCTCTTAATCATTTCAATCAGTATAACTGGCTATATTTGTCAGAATAAAGGCAGGAATAGTGATAAGCCTTTTAAATGATGTTTACACTGATTGGCTTGTTCTTTATCAAATAAAGTGCTGAAAGGACTTCTGGGTTTTGTACTTTTCAGTTGTTTCAGTGAGTCACTCAGAAGTAAAGTAAGGAGTAGTAAGAGTATTTTTTCCCCATGAAGAAACTAAAGTAAAAAAAAAGACATTGTACAGATACAGTTTTGATCACCAAGACATATACAATAGAAGTATACCTTCAGTGGTACAATAATGGTCTTAAGGTCCAATTAGGAACTTTAAATGAGATCATATTCATAAGTTTTCATAACCTAATGTTTTAAAACAGAAAAATAAGGAAAAGCCTGGCTTCAAGACAAGGTGCATCAATGCAAATTAAAACACAATTTCAATGGAATATAACTAACAATGTAAATGTTCCCTGAAAGGTACAACAGTAGTTTTAAGGTCCAATTGTGAATCTTAAATAGGTTTTTCCAGGTGAAAAGTACAGATTTGTACCTTTTCATAACCAAATGTTTTAAAACAGAGCAATAACATAAAAGTCTGGAGACGAGACGGGGTGTGTGGAGTCAGTACAGCTTAGAAAATATAATAAAAAAGAAAATATAATTTCAATGTATTATGGTAGATTTATGTACCCTTGAGGGTCCCACCCCAGTGACAAGAGGGGTACTACAATCACAGTTTACTACCTTCATTTCTGAGAGTGTAACACACTAAAGAAGTTTAGCATTGCCTAAAATTTAACACTCTCCCACAGCGATTGTTTTGTTCAGACGTCATCTGCAAAACCGGGAACAAGGGTGAGAACTGTTTTGCATCTTTACGGATAATTTGATACTGACTTTTAACGGTAACACTGCTAAAATGGAAACAACTCTTCACCATGAAGAGTTTTCAGTATGTGTGTGTGAGAGGCGTATTGCTAATCTGCTGAACGACTAAAGAAAGCATAGCTAAATTACTTTCAATCCCACAGCGAGATGTGTACATATTAATTTCCACACATGGTCCCTGCTGCCAGTGCAGTTAAGAAGGATTTGGCAGTAGTTGGTGGAAAAAAGCAAGTATTTGCTAAAGCTGGTAAAATTCAGCACCGACTTTCAGCTGGGTTCGTTTTTGTTCACTTGTTATAAAGTCTTATTAAGCTGCTCACCTGAGCCTTCAAGAGCACTAAAATCTAAAGTGACACATCAGTGCCTCACTCTTGTGAGGAGCTTCGCAATCTCCGTTTTTCCACTCAGTCATCTCATCGACATGGGCAGCCAGACCAGTCGGGTGAGTAACAGCTCACTGAGAAATAGGCAGGCCGCCCCATGTCGGAGAGTTGCAATCATGCAACAGAGCAAAAAGAGAGAGGCCTGTGTTCATATTACAGGGTGGTGGCACAAACTAATGTTTTGGACCTAAATTTGACGTAGATGGGATTTTTTCATATTTGAAAAATGCTGTCAATACATTATAAAATATAAATTATTACAAATCTGAAATGAATTGTTCACCAGTTAATTACCATCAAAGGTATTTAAATTAAATATATTGCAAATTTGTCAATATTTTATATGTGCATGAATGTGAACACAATTTTCCTTTTTCCTGAGTTGTGTAAACCCAAAAAAATCATTTTCACATCAGATTGAGTCACAGGCAAAATAAAAGTCACAGTGCCTTAGCAAGTAAATAAATATTTCTTGATTCTAGCCAGTAGCAATTAGGCCGAAGCAACAGAGACAGTAATTCTGATTACTTAGAATCTGTGAGGATGCAGAAAACGTGCAACTGCTTTAAACCTAAGTGCAAAGGTTCAGATAGAATCTGAATGTTCTAGATAATCTCACTCTTTTCTATCATTACTAGTATTCACCTTAATTAAGCCAGCAGTGTTTTTCAAATGGCAAAAATAAATAAATAAATAAATAATAACTAAAATGAAACACACTGTCATAAGTGTAATTTACAAGAGTCATCATTTTCTGTGACTCAGGCAACCACATGGCGGGGGTGGTTAGTTCTCAGAGCAAAAGAGGTAGTGATTAGCACTGTGTCCAAAACCACATAGTACGATACTAAATATTATGTCCAAAATAGTACACCATTAGAAGTCTGTTCGTCAGTATAGTATGGATAGTCCACACTGTTAGGAATAAAGGTTCAGTGTGGGTACATTTTTGTTCATCAAGGTTCCCTCAAAGGTACAACAGTGGTTTTAAGGTCCAATTGTGAACCTTAAATAAGTTTTTCCAGGTGAAAAGTAAAGATTTGTATCTTTTCATAACCGAATGTTTTAAAACAGAGCAATAAAATAAAAAGCCTGTGTGGAGTCAATACAGCTTAGAAAATATCATTTCAATGGATTATGGTACAATTATGTTCCCTGACTAAAGGTACTGAGATGTACCCTTGAGTGTACCACCCCAGGGACATGAGGGGTACTGCCCCAGTAACAGTTTCATACCTTTATTTCTGAGACCGTAGTAGTGTGCAGTTTTGGATGTGTCAGTTGCAGTCAGGCCTGTGGAGTTCTGTTTAGAAGCCTGTGCACACCACACTATATGAACTGCATCATTTTGACCAAAAAGATGTTGTTTACCTTTGAAATGTCATTTTTATTTGAAGGATTAAACTCGATTAAGGCTGTGTTAACATTTTTTTTCCGTGAATATTTTGCTTTTAATCTCATTGGCTAAGTAGCCACAAAAAGTGCTGCTATTAGTGTTATTTATTTCATTACAGCGTCAGCGATGCTACTGTTACAGTGTGTGCATTGAGCACAAAAAGCACTCCAGGCAGCTTAGGCTAGTTCACATTACCAGGCTGAAGTGGTACAAATCTACAAAACAGATGTGTTTTTTTCCAAGCTGTGTAGACATGAAAATCTGATCTTTTCAAATCAGATCTGAGCCACTTTTATATGCGGTCCTACATCAAATACATGTCTGATTTGTGGCCATGCAACCTTAATGAGAACGGTCAGATTGGAATTTGTGTGGTTTTCTTTCACTGCACAAGCATCATCATGCAGCGTTAATGTAATAAGTTAGCACCAGTAAATGATGCAAAAGCAACACATTTGACCCTTTTTCACATTCATCTTTCTCTAATAATGAAGCTCAGTGCTGTTCAGAGCAAGTTATCGATGAATCGACAAAGGCTCACTCTGCTGGTTAGTTTGTTTGTTGTTCATGGCGCACAAGGTTCATTCATCCTATTGATTAGGATCAGCACATGCAGGTCATTTCAGGAAGCAGGTTCGTTCACATTATTGACAGATTTGAGTCGCTTCCCTACGTGAATGTGAACCATCAAATTAACCCCTTAACATGCCAGGTGTATTACAAACTAAGGCTTGTTATTCATTAACTACAGGAACAACAATGCAAATGAATGGAGCTTTTATTAGGTTATAGGAGTGTGTAATAAAACTTGGTAAGGGGTCTAATAGGAATTGAACAATGAGGTTCGAATGCGAACATAGCTTTAGAGTGAACACAGCTTAGTTTTCCAAACTAGAATGGACACAAATTTGTGAAAATGTAATTGGAAAGGTTTAAGGAAACACATATGACTCTTGCTAGATTCTGAAAAACAAAACAAAAAACAAATATATACATGATTGTGATTGGGCGAAAGTCCCCCATTTTCCCACATGATTACTTGTGATAGTGATCTAAATGCCCAGCTATGCCCAGGTTTGGCTTGGGCAATGGTAACTTTACAGGAGAAGGAAAAAACATACTTTACTTTTAATGTAAGTCAAAGGAACCAGACTTTTTTTGGTCGTTTCTTTTGGTCTATTCATTATGAAATTTACACACAATGAAAAAGACAACAGGAACTTTCTAATAATCTCAAAACTAACTAAAAAATGAAACAAACAAAGAAAAAAAACCAAATGCAACAAATAAACAAATAGCTTAAAAGAATATATGTATATCATCAGGACATTGAATTCAACAATGATACAGATATTAATGGTAGCACAAATACGAATGGTAGCAGATTGTAGGGTTTTCTAACCAAACACTACATTATCACCATTATTATTATCATCATTACACCACTGCGAGAGACTGACTTTACCGTTAATGATAGTCCTAAAATTGACAAAGTTTCACAAGTTTTTAGTCTTGTGAGTCAATTAAATTGTAAGTCAGTTCATTGCAAGTTCGTGTCGAGTGGTGAGTGAGCAAACAAGCAGCTCAAGTGTGAGTCTCCATCTCTGTAAAATAATCTTTGAGATCAAAGCTTGTGCTGCTAATTCACTCATTTGGTTGTTGTTCATGATGCCTTTGATGTTGCTCATGCGCATGATGTTAGTGATACTGATGTACACATCTGGGTCCTTTCATGGTCGAGATGCGTCCACTCTAATGACAGTTATGGGTTATAAACTTGAATGTGAGCCATCAGGACAGAAAGGTCAGTGAACTGAACATCAAGGCCTGTAATGTGCAGGCAGCCTTATTGCTCAATTTTAGCCAAAATCGGATTTGTGCCCCTTCAACAATGTAATGTAGCCTAAAGCTTATATGCAGGTCTAAGTCACGTATCCCTCAGGCCCTCAGCTGTCAACAACAACCACACCAAACACAACAAGAGAACTGTGCAGGGGTGGACGGAGGGGAACATGATGTGACCTGCTTTAGAAACGTGCCTCACACAGCACAGCTTTCAGAGAAAAGAGGAAAACAGAGCGAGAAAAACAGCAGAACACGCTAAGCTGAAAATCAGCTCTCACCATCATGATGCTATCAGTCAGAAAGGAACAGGGCTGAAACTGCCCTAACCAGTTCCTATTCAAGAGAAAGTGTTACAGTGGCTAGAGATCTAGCATGAGGCAGTGCTTTGTTCTCCTCACTTAAGTTCATACTTTGAGAAGGATCCATGCACGATGGTTTACTAAATGTTCTTAAATAAGCATATTTGACCCTTGATAACATTTTAATATGTGGTCTTTCTTTTATTTTTAACACATCTGTGAGTTCAGTTAGTTTTTTTTAATGTAAGTCAATGGAACCAGAATTTTTTTAAAGTTGTTTTGGGCTGTTCCTTTTGTTCCATTCTTCATAAAATGTACATACAATGTAAAGAGCAACAGGCATTTTCAAATTAAATCAAAAACTCAAAAACAACAAAATGGAGATATTTTTGTGCATTTTATTTAATAGAATAATTAGCCTTGGTGTATTTAACCCCTTAAAATCCTAGTTTTACTACATACTAAGGCTTATTATTCAGTCACTACAGGGTCTTCAATGCAAACTGGTTGAACTATTTTTAGGTTATATAATGGTGTAATATAATAATATAGGTCCTGGCCATTTCAAGGGGTTCATCTCTGCAAGAGCTGTAGTAGCGCTTATTTCATTATTTATTTTAGTTGTAAACTTGAAAATATGGAAAACTGACCAAATCTATGTAGATACAGCCAAGCAAGCTCTGCCATTGGTTAGGACTTCAGGACCTGGACAGAAGGCCTAATGTTTCAGATCAGCGACCACCATAATTAGGAACTGACGGTGAAATCACCCAATCACATTTTGGTTTCCAATTGGTGGGACCAGTTTTGTGAGAACTAAAAAAAAAATACTCTAGGCTCTTTTCCACAAAGGGCTTGTGTGGCTGCAGGTTTTCATTCCAACCAAGCACACCTCATATAACTATCGACTAGTTTGAGGACCTGCATCCACCCTGGCCCTTTGTGGATAAGACTGGGCCTTCTGGAAGTTCTAGATATGTCAGTGGCTGTGAGAATGAGCTAGTCTTACCAGGCTTCAGGCATATGTTAGAAATAGAAAACAGC